AAGTGTATTTTATCGGTGATTCTCGGAAAGAGGAGTACTGTGGACTTTTACTAAACAATCTGAAACAGTTTAGTAAGGCGTGAAACTGCAGCAGATACGATATTCGTATTCGTGTACAAACATTAGTAATGAGGCAGTCGGAAATGATCGATATTAGTGTATGTTGTTGGTCTTCAGTACAAGAATCGGAAAATACCATTTGTTCGTTTTCTGTTATTATATAGAAATAATTACATATTAACATATTATGGGAGTGCACAGTGCACAGGATACGTATTTATATGTTCATAGGCGTAATCTGGGATGATTTCTTTGGTGGGGGGGGGAGGACAAACTGTGGTAAAACTAAAAATCTATAAGGTAAAATGACGCTATTGCCCATTCAGTTGAATATCCAAGGGGGTGCAGTTGCATTTATGATTGCAGCGAACGTCATGACGACTTTAAATCGCGAAACAAATTATCGCATCACCAGTATATTATTATGTAACGGGCGCAGCAACACGCAGTGTTGTATAATAATATAATAATATTAATATTATGTAAATCGATATATATAGTTAACGAATCAAATTATTATAATATACCCACGCGGTTCAGTGATATACCTGGTAATATATTTTTGGCAACCATCGAGTTAGTATATTAATAAAATAATAAACGAATTAAAAAGGCTATGAAATTTATACGATGAATCGAATTGAATATTTAGATTTCAATGTTGTCTTCATAATATTGTAGTTTGTGTAATACTTTACGGTATACAACACGAGTAGAAAATTAACCGCGGTGCCATTTTAATTGTTGACCTCCGCAGCGCCACCATTACCGAATTTACAACGGAGTTATAACTATAGGTATATTATTATAGCATTAATTGTACAACAGCAAGAGTTTAATATAATATTTTGGTTCTAGAGTAATATTATTTATGTACCACACATATTTATTATTATGTCCAGAGTTGAACGGTGTTCGAAAATTCTATAACTCAGAATATATATTATTTGAAGTAGTTATTAATACGATTATTATAAATTATAATATATATAAAAAAAGATATTACTGGACATTTAATTATAAATCAAACATAATCATGTTGTCGCTGTGCTTTGAGGCTATTCAATAAAGAATTTGACCCGATTTAATAATTGTGGAATTCGTGTTGCTGGTACAACACTGTTTCGTGTCGAGTTGATATATTATAATATTATGATGCATAGCTAGCTATATAGTCTAATTCGGAATTCCCACACATTCTATGTAGGAATCTTTTTTGATACATAGGTAATTGAGTAAAACCATAATATACTAATATTATCATATTATACCACATTACCACATGCCTATACTAATTGCGAATTATAATGCTGTATGCAATATAATACTATATTATGCTACTATTACATTTCGATGCTCAATGTAATATCGAAGTTCAATAATTGAACCACCATTAATTCTTTTTGACAATAATTTTTAAACCGTAGACGGCATGCGATGATAATAATATAACGTCGTGTTTAGAACATGTGCCGAGTTTTCTCACGTTTTTCTTTCTTCCCAAACATTCCTGTGTCGTGAAATAAAAATTCTTTTCGATTTCCCGAAAACCGTTTTCGTGCCCGAGCGTAACATAATATGACTTGCGGCTATTAAACTGTCGGCCCTGGTGGACGATTAAAATCGTGTATCGCGTAAATGATCGTGGGCAGGGAGGGAGGGAAGGCGGTTGGACCTGAGTATAGATCTGTCGCGCGGAGAGAGGATTGTCGTAAAAGACGCGCGCGGGTAATCCGATACACGAACGGGCGCGGGTCGGAGTGGGTTTTTTTATATATAATATACAGCATAATATGTACCCACCTGTACGCTTTGGACCGCTTTTGGTGAATCCCGTAAATTATTATTCGAGAATAAAATATGATAACATCTTTTTAACTCGATAACCACCGCTGCAGTTAGTAACACACACTCACTCACACCATGTTATATATTACGCTCGCACGAGCAAGCCAGTAAGTGCGCTCACACACACACACACCTGTATACCACCCCTATTATGGTATATATCTCTCGCGAGTGGTAACGATACGAGCCCCGGGGTCGTCGTCGCGAAGCGGTCACCATTATAATATTATATACAAACGATAGGACAAAACGACAACAGTCGTATCGCGATCAATCACGATCGCTGACGGAGTGGAAAATAATATTATACTATCGTTATAATAACAAATTATATTATATCACTGTGATAAACCAGAGGCGTAGACACGAGGGTGTTTTTGATGCTGAAACACAACCTAACCTAACCTACCCACCACTCGGCCGACGTACTGATATGCAAAAAATATACTGGTATGCCTATTAAACGTTCAGATTTCTGTAAAAAAATGTTGCCACATTATGGTTCTATTTCGTATTTAAATTTGATATAAGTACCTGCTGTTATTACTATTATATAGGTACCTATGAAGATGGATATTAGATTTATATTATTCGTGAACTTACTACAATGAAATTTGATTCCCCCCGAGTATGTTATGACTATGAATAAATATAAAATTTAAACAGACCCTTAAAAAATCACCCAGGCTACGGTACATAGCTTCGGTACATCCAATAATTAATAATATCAATAAATAAATACAATCCCAAAATAGCAAAATTAATATGTTTTTCGAAATTATTACACTCTGGCGCCAGAGCGTTTAATAATATAATAATAATTTATTGTCCATAAAATAATATTTAATGTGGTGCGAACGGTACTATGTCGACGGAGTTTTTGGATCCGAACCGAATAAATCACGGAAATTGTATATAGGGTTGTAATATGGACAAGCGATGCCTTTAATTATTACAAAATAATAATATAATTTTGCATACATGATGTATAAACCAGTGCAATACGATTGTGCACTTTTTACCTTTGTACCTGCATAAATCACAACACCTTACTTATATAGTTGTGCACCTCATTTTTTTATATTGTTGGCTTAAATTATTATAGTTTAAGAAATTCACCTATATAATTCAAATGTTCAGTACCTATTTATGTATTATATTCGTACCACGATTTGTAGTTATTATATAATAATAGAATACAAACATCAATTATACTACAAGTAATTGCTAAGGTATTTATTATTATTAGGTAAGCTGGTAAGGTATTATAAATAATTTAAAACTTCAATGCACCTATATAACAAAATTCAATATGAAACATTATACTACATAAGTAGGTAGTACTATAAATATTAAAGTAGTGTAAATAAATTATTATAGACATTACTGGAAAATAATGTGACTATCTTTAAAATCTTTAAAACCAACAACAATACAAAATATTTGTTGTGCGCGATATCGTGTTGTATTTTATCAAACATAACGGTGAACCACGATTGCGCCCAGCTTACCTTTTTCCATTCAAAAAACGCAATACGATTGCGCTCGACCAATTAGCACTGTCGCGGCAGTCTATAACCTTTTTTACCTGCATAAAACGCAACACGATTGCGCTCTAATATATATATGTGTTTGTCCCGTATATGTATATGTTATATAACAATTTTCTAGTACACTATTTAAAAATACAGTCGGACTTGGTTTTCCTTGGTTTGTGCCACAAAATTGTAATTTATACATTTGTATTATTTTTATTCTTATTATTATTATGATTAAAAAAATATTTAATTAGACATTTTTAATTAAAAAGAAATATCTATGCTAGAGCTACTATTAAAGTATTATTATTAAAAAAAAAAAAAAATTGTAACTCAAAATTTTTAACCAAGCCAACAATTTAATTTTGTTGTCAGTCCTAAGCCTGTAAAATTGGGAAGGAAAATTTTTAAGAGCGCAATCGTGTTGCGTTTTATGCAGGTAAAAAAGGTTATAGACGGGCGCAATATTGCTAATTGGTCGAGCGCAATCGTATTGCGTTTTTTGAATGGAAATAGGTAAGCCGGGCGCAATCGTGTTACACCCAAACATAAAAAGGGGAAAAATTCGCAATCATGATGTGTCTTTTGCAGGTAAAAAGTGCGCATTTGTGTAACGCCCATATTATATTGTATAGGTATATTTCGGCGGTACAGAACGCATTATTAGAATATATTTTTTATATCTTTTTAAGACCGAATCTATATATATACACGCACTAAATACAATAATATTACACACTATATAGCCTACACCCGTACACCTATCAACATAATATAATAATATATGAAATGTGACGTAAGACTTTTCTGCGCGTCACCCGGGTTAAAGGGTTTTCTCTATAAGTTCTTTAGCTCTTGTAAATATCGTATATTATACATTATGACTCGTGTACATTACACGGGCTCGGGCAATTATTAATTAAACCCGACGTCCGTACAACACAATACTCCGATTGATTGATATGTGTGTGCGGTATTAGTACTACACGTAGAGTCCAATCGCGGTCGCACAATATTAATAATTAATAATATTTAGAAATCTCTGTGCCGACCAGTTCGCTTTCGTTCGTATAATAATAAAATCAATAAACACGCCTGTTGTTACCACCCTCGGTGCACAATTCGCGGTTGCGGTATTCCTAGAATACCTATGTATAATGACAGCACGTCTGAAGTGAATCATAATATAGAGGAGAGAGACTTCACAGCCCTTAGACTCGACCGTTGCTCCCCCCTAACCCCTAACACGCCATGGTCGAGCTTATAAATGTAAACAATTTAAAATATTCGTTAATATCTGTTCAATCCGTATCGATATAGGTACTATAATACCGATGAGTTATATCTGTATAGTTATTCGGACCGTCACTATACCTATATATACACTGAAACCTAAGGAAATTGAAATCGGTGACTTTCAGGTTTCTTGTACAATATAATATAGTGCAGTATGGGAATTTATTTTCAACGTATCAGCTGCCGGTCTAATAAAGCGATAAGAATTTTATAGGTATGTAATAACCATTATAGCAATATTACGGGAAGTTATATTACCTGTGATCCCTGAGATGGTCCTGTCTCCTGAAGGCCTTTTTGCAAATGTCACAAGAGTACGGCCGTTCGTCTGTGTGAGTGCGCTCGTGTATGAGCAGGTTGTACGACTTGGTGAAGTGTCTGTTGCAGAACCGGCAGATGAACTGTTTCTTGGGCCTAGGGACGGGTCCGTTGTTGTTGTCCTGATGGAGGTGCAGGTGTCGCGAGGCGGCGATGGGTTCGTCGGCGGAAATAGCCTTGACCGGAGTGTCGTCGTCGACGAGTGCCGTGGTGCAGACAGAGGCAGCGGCGGCGGCGGTCAACGAGGCGGACAACCTGTTGGCTCTGGGAGACAGGCCGGACAGCTCTTTGGCAAATGCCGGGAGACGGCCTCCCCTGCTGGCGGTCACGACGATGGCGGCCGTAGCGGCCGCTTTCGCTACACTTCCGCTGCTGTCCAAAACCGTCGGTTTAACGTCGTGATGGTGATAGTGTTCGTCGTCGTCATCATGGTCGTCGAGGTAATCGTCTTCGTTTCCCAACGAGGACGGATTTTCGCTTTTGACGCCTCCGCCGTCGTCGTCGTCTTCGTCATCCTTCAACACTTCGTGCACGACCACCACGCTGCTGGCGGCGTGCGCCCGGTCCACAGTCACTGCGGTCATCGCGGGTTGACGGGGCACGGCGGTCAGCCGCTGTAGCGTGATGTACGACTCGAGGGCCTGTAGATTAAGCGCCGCGGCCACAGGTGAGTCGGGTGGCAGGAGCGCGGCCTGCTGCAGGGACGACACGAACGTGGTCTGCAGCGACAGGGCGACGTTTTGCAGCGATCTCTGCAAAAGTTGTCCCATGGCCATATTATCGTCCTTGTTGTTGTTGTTATTGTTGTTGTTGTTGTTGTTATTGTTGTTGGACGACGGAGATTGCAGTTGTTGTTGCTGTTGCAGTTGTTGCTGTTGCTGCTGCTGTTGTTGCTGCTGCTGTTGCTGCTTCTGCTGACGGTGGTGGTGCGCCTGTTGCACCGCCGGCGAAGAGTGCATCACGAGTGGGGTGGGGGCGCAGGCGTTCCTAGCGGGGAGGTACTCGACGGGTGGGGGCAGCGGGGTAAGGGTGCCCCGGAATCGTTCTTTTCCGCGAGCAGCGTGAATAATCCAATACGCAACCGCCGTTATAATATTAAAATATGAATAATAATAATAATATTTACGAGCGGGCTTACCTCTACGGCTGACGTGCTATATAATATTGACAAAAGCGTTTCTTCCGGTCCGGAAATGACTATGCGAGTGTTTATAGGGCGCGTGTCGCTCAGCGCCAGCTAGCGTTTTTTCCGTCGTCTTCGTCTTTGGGCAGAGGTAGTAGTAATAATAACAACAACAATAATAACAATAATAATAATAATAATAATAATCTAACGTACGTACGTGCAATATAACAACACACACACGCTGCAGTGATGCCGGCCGTCGTCGGTGACTGCGGGCGACTACTACTACTACTTCTACTGCTCTTTTCCCCACTACGCGCGCGCGAGCGGGCGCTCCACACACACTCGGGTACGCACGCGGACGCGAACACGCGCGTGCGCGCGCCCGCCGCCCGAGATCGGTTCGGTTCGGGTTTTTCGTCTTCTTTTAATTTTTTTCCTTTTCTTTCCCTATTATTCGATGCAACACTATTATTTTCGTTGCTTTTCTGCGCGCCCGTCCGTCCGTCCGTCTCCCACCCGGCCACGGCGCGGCGGGCGACCGCCTACAATAAACGCGCGCGCCGTTCGCGGGCTGCGGGCCGACCACCTCGCGGTACCGGTAACGGTGCCGGTGCGACGTCTCGCCGCGTGCGGACATATTATTATAATTATATTCTTAATTATTAACATCGTCTTTGAGTACGATATCCGGACAGCGGAAACACGCGGTAAAACGCAGGGCGCTAACGGGTCCGAATTTTGTGATCAGTGGCGTGATTTCGGTTTTTTTTTAAAAATCGGTGCCAAAATGCTTACAGGCCATTTCATTGAATTATTACCATGAATCCGGACATCTAGTCGATAATATAGGTTCTATCTACTTAAATGTATCCAATTACATTTAACAAGATAAAATGTTCAATAGTTATAACATAAGACAATAGTTCATTGGTTATTATTAGAAAACAAGTTGAAAGTTAAAACTGGACTATAATTAATACATGTAGTAGGCATATAAATTATAAATTGATAACTTCTATTTGTAGACTATTTGTTGTTGTTGATACTATTTTGACGAAATCATCGAGTGGTAATATTATTTGCGGATTCTTGTTTTGGCGATTGATATGGCTTTCAGTTATTTCGTTCGTGGTATGTATTTATTAAGTAGGTAGTTGGGTACACACACCACGGTTGTGGATAGAAGTGATAGAACAAAATTCGCCGTGTACCGTGTCCTGTCAATCAAATCGCATTCTGATTGGACGTTAGTTTTTTGGTACCGTGTAATAACTAAGTTGCTACCAAGTATACCGAGAATTGACTGCAGCTCAACTTTTAAACCAATATGGTTACTATTAAGTTGTACCATAGTCACAACAAGACGTACCTGTGACATGTGATCCGGCTATACTCGTCACTCGTCATGGTAGTCAGGGCCGGCTCAAGGATTTGCGGGGCCTGGTGGGAAATATTTTTTTTTATGAAAGAGTTCTCTTCCTGAATATTTAACAAAATATAAAAAATGGCTATTGGCACACGATTCGGTCAATAGTAGGGTCCCTTAATAATGGTTTAAATAAATGTGCTTAATGAATAAGTCTCCCCGATTTCATGAATTTGTTCGCTTACTGGACTACCGATTGTGTAGTGTATTATAATATCGCATGTTTAATTGTATATTTGAATTATAAATAAAAATAAAAATAACAATAATTCATTTTTATACCGAAAAATTACATTTTGTTGATTCCAAAATAAAAATAATATTCGAACATTTAAATTTTCTAATAAATAAAATTCGAACACTTTTCATTCGTACACATAATTTTCGAAGAAACACAACGACAATTAAAATGTCAGTCTTACATAGGCAGATAGTCTGCTTAACTATACACATTCCCACCAAGCATTTTTTACGAATTTGTATAGATTTACACCAAGATCGCAAAACTTGACAAAAAAATGTTGTGATAGCAATAATAATAAATATGAATACCTACCAATTCAGAATAATATGACACTCAAATGTACTATATAATAAATTGTCAAATAAAATAAATAATATGATATATATATTATAATTATATAGAAATTAATAGTAATAATAATAAAAATAATTACTTACGTAATAAGTGTTCGCAGTTCGCTAGTGGCAATAACGTCGATTGTTTTCAAAATAAAATAATGATAGTATTATAAATGTACAAGTCCCAGCATGATAAATAAAATACGGTGTAGACATCTGACATACACATTACAAATTAGGAAGAAATAAGCTGATAATTAGCTGTACTTATATTTATAGATCAACCTATTCTATTCATGTAACTCAATAATTTAAGCAAATCAGTATTACCACTAATAGAGAAAAACAGTTTTTATGAGAAATTATTGATAAGGTATTAACTACGCATCACCGTAGCCTATCGGGCACCACTGCATTTTTTAGGTTTAATAAACATAATAATAGCACAGATTATATAAAATAATATATAATATAATACTAATAAAAAATATATTATTATATTGTTATTTTTATTTTTTATTTATATTATATTATAATCTGTGATAATAGGTGGATACATAAACTCAACAATACTTTTAATAAATTAATAAAAGTCAATAGTCCGGATAGTCATTATTAACTATAAGAATTAAGCATTGATTATAAATACTAAAGTAGTACCACACAGTAATTAATATCAATACATTTATAAACTTTAAATTATTGTTGCTCAAGTAATTTTCATAAGGTAAAGGTGCAAAGCGCGGGGCCTGGTGCCCCCCCCCCCCTTAGGCCGGCCCTGATGGTAGTCACGTAGTACACATATAAACTATACTATACTATTTTTATACTATTTAATTATTCATCGATCATTTTATGTGCCTACGCCCTACTCAGATTGTTACGGTTTTTGAAATATTATAATCAACTTTTGGAAGCTAACAGTTCAATAACTATAACCTAATCAAATATAATATTTTACCTTGGACACCAGTGGAGTTCTGTAGGTAGTATGAAAATACTTTTGAGTGTATGGCGGTAGTAGCTAGGACGCCGTACCATTTGATGATATAATATTATGTACCCATAATTATAACAATCGACGTTATCAGTGGTATGATTGTATGAATCATTAATGTTGTTAAAAATATGGAGGGGGCTAGAAATATCAATTAACACGTATAAACAATAGTTTATTATACTGACGAGATTCAGTTAGGAAATATTTGGGAGGGGGCAAAGCCCCTGCCCAAATGGCAAATTTACATATATGAACGTTATATATAGTGCGAGTCCGTGAAAACTGTACATTGCTCATTTATAAATGGCTGTACCATCGTCACGATCAATATCTTTCGATTTCTAAGCCAAATAGAGATAGTTTCTTCAGTACACATATACTTACTACGTATTCAAATACCTTATCATTGATACAGGGATTATAAAAATGATTTGCATACATTCTTAAATAATATCCACTCATATTAAGACCGTTAATTATTAGACATTATTTATATCACATATAGTATATTTGCATACAGTACAACTGGCAGTACCCGCTTAGATAAAATTATATTAGATACACATATTATAACAGCTAAACATAAATTTGGTATGTTGCGCGTTGGTGAGAGAGAGAAAATAAACGCCGACTGGTGAAAAGGAGGTTCACGTTTAGTCGGCCGTCCGTCCAATCGTCCAGTTTGTCTATCTGTTAAATCAACAAGTGTTGAAAGAGTCGATGTATGCCTTATGACCATCTCGATGACCACCCGACTCGTCGAGGACAGACAAACTACAGCACTAGACTTGCACTACTCACCTCCTGAACTTCCGACACAACCGATAAGTTTTCAGCTGTAGTTTCGTGGCTCTGCTGTTTCACTTGGCATGTGTCGTCTTAACGTCCACGACCGATAATTCTCGCGTTCTCGAAATAAAATCACTACTTGGCCCTCCCACAAAAACTCACTCCTTACCCTCAAAAACAACTTCCCAACTTTACACGGACTATAACTGCTGCTGCAGTCTTATCGCCGTTACCTATACGTGTCCACTGACACGGCTTGTTACCACTGCTCCTCGGTGCCTACGAGGGGCCTGCTGCTGCTACTCCTCCGTGATCTGTTATCACGACGCCCACACGACCTGTTGTCGCAACGCATCCTGGTGTCTTAGCGGACCCTCTTCGGCCAGTGACTTCACGTAGCAGTAAAGCGGCCGTGTTCAGAGTAACGTCAGCCTCGTGTACTCGAGGGACGAGCCATCGTTTGCAGCCGAAGAAATACGCCGATATGATACGTGGACATCGTTTGAGAAGGCTGTGCATATACCGATGGTTGGCCAAGTCGTGTTTCGACCTCGGTGAGTCGGCTTATGACCAGGCACTGGCCTTTGATATCTTCTAGGTACTGAGGATTGGCTATACTGAGAACTAGGTATACTGAGACCTTGGGGTAGGCGATTCAGCATTAGCGCTCTGCTTTATGATTGTAAACGGCGTCACTAGGAGTCGCGGGTTAGTGGTCGTCCTTCGGGGAACACCTGAAAAACTAGATGAAGCCTTGCTGAAGATCAAAACCATGCTATTGATCGTGTGTCGCTAGTTGCGAATGTTCATTAATTAGTAACAAATACGTATATTAGTATTTCTGTAATTTACAGATTTATATGCATATTAAGTACACATATTGCACCATAAATAAGTTAAAGTAATTGGCTCTAATAGTAATTTATAATGTATGTGTGACCTGCAGTCGTATTGTAGTAATTTTTTGGAATAGTATTGTAACTTCAATGACTACAATTGTGCGCAGTACATTATTATATTATATGTGTAATACGAAATTAAAAAGTATGTGGTGACTTAACATACTCGACTTAAAAGTATTTGTGTTTTATTATAATATTTATAAATGTATAATATTTTTATATCTTAGACGTCCGTGTGATGTTACATTAGTTCATTATTGATATGCATTACAAAATGTATCTATAGTAATATTTCCTAGGCCCACTATAATTTAACTTGTGCTAAAAAAGTCTCATTGGATCGGTCACTTGCAGATCATCGGTAGAGTAAAATTTTATATTATACCTATTAACTTTTTATTTCAACATCCGTTCAATATTGTACTTGGAAATCGGAATAACCACTATATAGTGTCTTGTACTCTTCTTTAATATCTTTAACCAAAATCTTCTCGTATGTTTCCGTATTTGGTATGAATCTTGTCACTATTATACATACTGCCGTATATGAGAGATATAAAACGTTTTATAGTATACAGTTATACTACCACGTAATAACGACTGTCTTATGCCAATTCGATATGTTTTATTCAAAAGTGATAAGTCGGGTTTGGTAAATTCGTTTAAATGAAATCATTTGAATGGCGAATCTGCCAACTACAAATCAGTTTTCGTCGATTCAGATATAGCTGCAGTTCTCAAATAACAGCCGTCCTGCAGCCAGTGGCGTATTTAGGATTTTGTCATGGGGGGGGATATGATTTTATCCAGTACTTATCAACTCGAGGGGTATACAAAATTATACTTCAAAACAATAAAATTAATAAAACAAAACTAATAATCTCCTGATTCTTAAATTTTATAATAAAAATAATAAATAATATCACTCATAATAATTCAAATTTGAAATCTTAAACAAAATGATACTTCAAAACAATAAAATTAATAAAACAAAACTAATAATCATTTTGATTTCTTAATATTCTAAAATATATTTTCTTTAATATTAATATTAAAACTGAGTAACAATTTTTAATACCTAGTCATCTTTATCATTGGATATAGTACCATTGTTATCTTGATTAGAACTGGTTTCTTCAACTAAAGATCTATAGAACCAAATGTATTCAGGTGGAACATACTTTGATGCTAGGCATTGCACATCAACAAACTTGGCAGATTTAATTTCTAATGATCCATTATATAACAATTTAGAAATAGTTGCACATAAAGATTGTATATTATTCTCTACTCCTTTTTTTTTCAAGGATAAATTTTTCTTTACCAGTAGAATGTCCAGAAATACTACAAAATAAGCCAGCAGCTGCTCGAGCGCTCTCCTCAGTCCTCACTCTTTCGACGGCTCCCGGACTATCGTCTAATTTAGATTTAAAAAAAAAAAAAAAAAAAAAACTCAACTCAAGCCTTGGGGGGGGATCAAACCCAATGATCCCCCCCCGTAAATACGCCACTGCCTGCAGCAGATGAGTATTATATATAAAATTATAAACACAACCCCAAACAATGTTTCGCCAACCATTCCAGAAAATAATAATTGCCGGTTACGCTTACATACAGAGAGACAATACCGATGACGCCCGTTCCCATAACGCGTATATATAAATACCTACTCTGCAAGCCATATGTATGGGGAGATCGTCTTCGTCGTGAAACCGACGGTTATTATTAACACATACATACATACTTACTATTACCACATAGGTATATACTATGTTTAAACACAAATCACCCCTTGTATGGTGTGTGTGTGTGTGTGTGTGTGTGTGTGTGTGTGTGTGTGTGTGTGTGTGTGTGTGATACAGACGAGTGCTCCACAGCAGTATAAATATAATATTATATTATTGACAGGTGTATTCTTTTCATCATAGTCGGTATATATATAAACCCTCCGGGGTCTCTGAGGTTTACTGAATATTATATAGGTATGTATGTATAATATGCTTTCGATTAATTTTGGCATATCACGCTATATTATATGGTCGTATAGACAGTATAATATATAGGTATGGTTATCCGTGTGCACGTGTACACGTATAAACGGCGGTAACCATCGAGAGTACTTAACTGTGTTATATAGGTATAATATTAGATGATACGCGTCTGTGATGTACCCGAATCGTTATTATTGTGGTCAAGTCGGCCGTGTTATTATATACTATTATACTGAAACGTTTAGTCGGATCAAATAGTGATTATTGCCTATATTATATTTATACAGAGTGTTTCATAGCTATTGTGTCCTTTAATACCTAATACACATTTATTTAAATTCTGATTTTTAGAATTTTGAAATATCGTACTTAATGACCATATTTTAAAATTAACGAGATCTCTTTTACTAGTAACAAGTAACAACTAGGTAGATACTTAAGGAGTGTCCTGTGGCAAAACAAACATGGGTTGGGTATAATTTTTTAAACATTTTGATGTACCTACATAATTCAAAATTTAAAAATTTTTCATTAGCTATTAAAATGTTTAAACTTTGGATAATAGTCTTTATAAATGGTTTTACGAACATATTATAAAATATATGTAATATTAGATCTAATATTTATTAGTTATTGTACTTTGATCAAAAATATTATGTCGATAGTTTAATTACTAAAATTACACTCCTTAACTAGTCTAAATATTATGGTCTTTAAATATAGTTAAAAATTCCAAAAACAAGATTTCGACCAACTGCATTATTGAAAAATAAAGGGATGAGCACGTTTGGTGAATCGCCTTATAGGTATATATATGAACCAAACCAAAAAGAGTTATTGGAGATGCACAGTAATAATTACACGGTTAACATATTACATTGTATACAGACGCAATTATTTAGGTATTTAATTTACCGTTATTAAACGGAAATATATTCTCGTAACGTGCGTTTTATATTATTATAAGGTACAGATAATCACTATATATATTATAGTCACTCCTCATACGGTCATAGGTCTATTCGTATAATATAGGCATATTCGACATATTGTTTTTATTCTGTTCTGAAACAGACAACCAGAATAACCCCTAAATGCAGGTGTATCCAATATCCATTATCCGCCTAATTCATAGGTACATGATATTATATATTTCTGTTGTATATAAAGGTACAGGAGTGTGTAGGACTCTCCAGTGTTCAGTTTATATGACAGTTAAATACTTAAATATAAATTATAATATACTTAATAGCAGTCAATACCTACATATTTTCAAATCAGAATCTTAAAAAAATAAACCATACATAATGAGAGCTTGAGGTTTCAACATTTTACCCAGGTACCTGTATTTAATATAATAACACTATTCATTTTTCAGTCATAAACGTAGTATACTTAATACGTTTTGACTTACCTATCATGGTAAATACTGCGTAACTATATATATTCTGTATAAATCCCAATCACAGCATAAACAGGTTAATGATTTATTAAGGAATAAATTGTATTTATTATTGATTCATAATGCCAACTAAACCAGAACTAGAATATGGGAAGTGAATAAAATCGGACCTTCTCACCACGGAGTTTATAAGTATACCACACCGGTCCCACGACCACCACAGTTGTGCATTGTTATATATAATATTATAATTTTATACTTATCCTAATGCGCTAAATCGCTGCAGCGGTCCGTTTCATGTGTATTATTATATAATATTATTACAGTACGAAACTCACACGCTGTACAATATATAATAATAATATCCTCAACTGACGTTCTAGTATATATATATATACTATTATATTCACATTATTTCCTGTATATCATAATAATAATATACTACACAGTCCGTTTGGTCGGCGGCACAAAAGCGATCGGATCGATGTATTCCTATATAATACCATGTACGCGGTGTACGCATACATAAGTCCACGCGAGCACACACACACACACTTATATCCTCCACTCGATGGTGGTGATATTATGTATATATATGTATAAATTATATAAATATGTATACCGATATATCGTGGGTACACATGGAGCTGTTTCGCCGCCGCCGCCGACGACCTGCACGATTTATTGGCGTGATGTCTGATGCAGCACAAGGCGCCTTTTTGTTTTTATTTTACTTTTTAACATTTGTACTTCGTTTCTGTACTATATACATATATGCGAACGTCTCACTCGGCGAATAGGCATAATATAATATACGTACAATATAATATAGGAATAATATAGGTGTATACCCGCACCAGCGTATCCTACCTATATATATATATATATGCATACGCAGCGCCGGGCTTTGAGTAAATTATTCATCGCCTGCACTCCCAAAGACTCGAGTGTGTGCTGGTCACAGACTATTATAATATAATAATGATAACAATAATAATAATGGTCGACCGTTGTAGTCGGGCGTGAAAAATACACCAAGCGCATGAGCATAGATAGATATTAGATATAATATATATATATTATATACGCACCAGCTTTATATATGCGGTTTTTTGACACATATTATACACTATTATATATATATTATAAATATAATCTTTGATACATGTCGCACATTTCGTTTTCCACAATTATTTATAATGGTTAACCTAACGCGTAAACGAT